GCTTTTACTCAAGTAATATTCCTAAAGGAGACTTTAACTTTTACTAAAGTACGTTTTTGGTAAGATACTTGTACTTTTACTCAAGTTGTGGTACTTTATAAACACTGCTGACAGTAAAGAGGCAACAGAAACTGTCAGATTTGGTAAAAACATGAAATATCCTGTTTTGTTTGTAAAATAACATCAATCTAAATGTTTAAATTTGCTCCTTCGTCTCTAAAAGCTGTTTTTATTTTAACTCTAAATAAAATATCTGGTTCTGGTGGGGGGGGTCTCACCCAGCAGGGGGTCCACGTCTCTCTTGGGGTTGTAGAAGAGGCCTCCACAGACCAGGTAGAGCGCGTCGACCAGGTGAGAGCCGCACAGGTGCTGCGAGGGAGACTGGGCCTGGGAGCCGGGCCACGAGACCACCAGTAAGACCAGCAGGGACAAGGACTGGAGCCAAGGAGCCGCCATGCTGAGGGGGGCAAACACAAACAGCATCAGCTCCGGGGGGCCGCCAGGAGACCTGAGGAAGAGGAGAATCACTGACCTGAGGAGCTGGAGGAGATGAAGAGGAGGTGACTGATGAAGAGGAAGAGCTGGGTGGTGTGAGGCCGAGGGAAGGGGGTGTCCTCCTTTTATAGCCCACCAGCATCAGCTCAACTCCACCCTCCACTCATCCTCTGCTGCAGACCACCTGCGCCTGATTGGACGAMCAGAACAAGTTCAAACMGCTCCAAACAGGAAGTGGAAACTTTAATGTGAGCTGCTGGTGGTTCTGATTGACCCGGTCCAGCACTTAGTAAAGCAAACAGAGCCTAATGAGCTGGAATAATCTGATCACCTCGTTCAGACAAATATTGATCAGCCGACAGCCTTCTGCTCCGGCAGCTGAAGAAACCAACAGATTCTGCTTCACAATCACTTTTCTTTCTTCTGTGTGTAACGACGTTAGAACTCCTGAGGAGGTGAAGCTCCTCTGGTCCTCATAAAGACCTGACATCTGTCCTGAAACACTGCAGCTTCAACAAAACCTTCAGTTTTCTTCATGGGCTCTAACTGAGTTCTGAAATCTGCTCTTTAACTTGGTTTCATGAAGTTAATTATTGTTCAGCTTCTTGTTTTCCTTCTGCTGAAGGATTTCTTATTTCACAGTTTTCTAACAACCGTTCAGGATGCAGCAGACATCAATCACTCTCCTTTATTTCAGCACAGAGAGCCCACTGAGGTCAAGATCGCTTTTCCAAGGGTGGCCTGGTCAAGAGGTCAGCAGCACACGTCTCAGGGTCGTTTAAACAAACGTTACATCGTAGAAAGAAAAATATACATAAAGTACAGTAGCATTACACAGATTTACACAATGAGTACAAACAATAGATGAGGGAAAGTAGTAATCTATGTTTCAGGATGAAATGACGTTACAACATGTACAGCAGATAAATGGTGTTTAAGACAAACATCAAACCTCTTGACGACAGTGTCTGTTCAGGTTGAAGTGAAGGAGTTTGGTTAGTTTCAGTTCAGTCTGTCAGTTGTTCCAGGTTGAGGGGTCGGCAAAGCTCAGCGCTCTTTTCCCTGGGTCAGTTCTGACATGACGAACTGACAACAGTACTATTGTTGCAGCGCAGGGAGTGATAGGTGATAAGGTATAACAGGACTAACAGAGTAGAGATGTATCTGTGAGCAGTGAGGGGTACAGTTCAGTGATGAGGAAGGTGACTGCAGTCTGTGATGAAGCACTCGTACTGCACATCACTGTAGTCTAATATTGGCATGAACGTCCTGATGCATCTCAGTAATCCAGGTAAAAAATCAAAAAGAAAAAATAGTATAGGTCTTCTGGACGGGTTCTTCTCTAATGAAACGTTTCATCTCTCCTCCAAGAGACTTCTTCAGTCTGAGAGTTTCAGGTGAAATTCAGGCTTTTAAGTCCTGCCTCCATGTGACTGATACTCTGTGATTGAAGAAGTCTCTTGGAGGAGAGACGAAACGTTTCATTAGAGAAGAACCCGTCCAGAAGACCTATACTATTTTTTCTTTTTGATTTTTTACCTGGATTACTGAGATGCATCGGGACGTTAGCTGCTATGT